CCCTCCACCCCAGCCAAGCCCGATCGTCCCTCAGGCGCGCCTGCCCTGCCCACCCCGCGGCAGCATCCCTCCCAAAGACAAAGCAGCCGGCAACCTGGCCCACTCCTCTCCAGGTACCTTGCCCGCTCTATTCCCCCGCTGCACACTTGTTTTCTTGTCTCCATTCCTCCAGTTCACCCAGGCCTGGTGCTTCTTTCCAGCAGGGTCGACCCTGAGCCCCAGCTGAATGGAGCAAAGCAGGGGAACAGGTGGGAGAATGCGCCAAGGACCACCCAGGTGCCTCCAGGGCTTGAGGACCGGGACTCACCAGGTGCTCCTCTGCGGTTTTGTCCCCAAGGTGAAAATAGAGCCCTGCATGTAGTAGGCTCTCAGATACCTATTAGATGAGTTAATGGATGGCTTTATAACTGGAAACCTGCGTGAATTAATGAGTGAATAAATGGCCAATTAACTAATTGGATGTAAACCGGGTAGGCAACTAGTGGATAATTGCGGGCCAGACCACAGGCTTGTCGGATGACTTGTATTAAAGGACCAGCTCAATGAGAAAGTCAAATGGTATTGCCTCAAGGGCCGCCGTGGTTTGAAGGGCTTTCAAATAGTCCACCTGTGGGCGTTGTATGCCGTACATCTTATGGAAGGCTGGGAACCTTACCGAAGGATTCTTGCTGTATTTAGGGAACAGTAGCAAATGAGAAACCACCACCACATCCTACATGGGAAAGCATCAAGTGGGTCAAACACACAGCCTCAAGTGCATGCCCAGGAGGGCATTTGTTTTTTGCAGGCACGATGCATTTGGTCCATTTTTTTTTTTTTTTTTTTTTTTTTTTGGTTTTTCGAGACAGGGTTTCTCTGTGTAGCTTTGCGCCTTTCCTGGAGCTCACTTGGTAGCCCAGGCTGGCCTCGAACTCACAGAGATCCGCCTGGCTCTGCCTCCCGAGTGCTGGGATTAAAGGCGTGCGCCACCAACGCCCGGCGCATTTGGTCCATTTAACGCTGCTCACCCAACCCAAACAGTGAGGATGCCAGTGGGCATCATCCCAGGCATGGCTGTACACCAACAAGATTCAGGAGTAAGGCAGAGTTGGAAGCAGCTGCCATTTGGCCAGGCAAGCAAACGGAGGTACAGGAGAACAGCAGAGGAATCCTCTCTGACCGATCCACAGGGTACAGGTGAGGGTGTGAGCATCGTGAGGGCAAGCCACATTCACATTCTATACTGCTGACCTGGGACGTTGTTTTAATCTGTTTATAGCATATGTGATTCTCAGGCACACTTCAAGAAGCACAGACACCAGGCTTGTGTTTTAGTTATAACAACTCTCTACAGTAGGCCACCAAACAGACAACACAACAACAAAACTGTAGTAGAATATTATTTTAATGTGTGCTACTTTTGTTTTATGTTGCATTTGTTTAACTCTGTGAAGCTGTGTTACTGTGCCTGTTCAAAACACCTGATGATCTAATGAGAATATATAGAGGGAGAAATCTGGGGAGAAGGAAGAGATGGAGGAGTGAAGGATGTAGGAGCCAGAAGCCAGAGAAGGAGGAGGACTCCAGGGGCCAGCCACCCAGCTACACAGCAAGCCACAGAGTAAGAAACAAAGAAAGGTATACAGGAATAGAAGAGGAAGAGCCCAGAGGGAGAAGATAGACAGGATAAGTTAATAAAAGCTGACTAGAAACTAAGACAAGCTAAGGCCAGGCATTTATAATTAAGAATAAGCCTCAGTATGTGATTTATTTGAGAGCTGGGTGGCAGGCCCCCCAAAAGAGCCAAAAAACAACCAACAACACAAAACCTTGAAATAGGCAGAGTGGGGGAGAGGAAAAGGAAAAGAACATAAGAACATAGAAGTGTGAACCTATTTGAAGCTCAAAAACCATGAAATTAAGCTATTTTGAAGGGCAAGATGGAGAGATGGACTTGGCTCAAAGGAGTAGGATATTTATGAAGTATTTTTTTAACTCATTAATCAAAGTGCTTTTATAAATTATAAGGCAGATAATGACGGCTCAAAGTCTGTGTTTCACGAGTTACATGTGGGGCAGTGGGGCCAAATGTCAGCTAGAAAGGGTAAAGAAACTACTGGACTGCCAAGATGGGGAGGCCCCAACGATGACAGTCTCTCAAAATGTTTGGCAGTGAGTAAATGAAGGGAGTGTCCAGAAAACAGGGCTGAGGTGAGGTTTATTGTTTGAGATAAATGATTGTTCTATAAGATAGATAATCCACAAATTCAAAGAAAGAAAAAAATTATTTGTTTTCTATATAATCAAATTAACCTCCTGACCCAAGTGCCCATTCCACCTATTGTTAGGACGCTTGATCTCACTCACTTCAGAGTCAATTCCATGAATTCAGGTTCACCTGAGATAACTCCTTCTTCCCTAAGAGGTTACATGCAAGTTTGGGGGGTAAGCACTGGGTATCATGGGGGTGTATTGAAAGATATTATGTACCATCTGTCCTCAAGAAGACATGACTCCTGTCTCCTCCCTCCCCCCCCCCC